CTTCCCTAATCAGCTCAGCCTTGGCCAGAGGTGGGCCCAGAATTGGAGCCAGGGGATCTTCCAGCAGCTTCTCACAGCAGCCACCTCTGTGGAGCTGAAACATTTATTTTATTTTATCTTATCTTAAGTTTGAAGGATTTTATTTATTTAGATCAGGTTCAGTCCTGGTTGAAAAACACAACAGTCCTAAAGAAGTACATTTAAGATGGTATAATAACAAGAGCTGGCAGAAGGGATGATCTTCCACACCTCTTTCCCACCCTCACTGAGCATTTCTGCCACATATAATTCCAATGCACTGGTAAGCAGTTCCAGGTGCTAGATGACCTGAAAGCAAAGCAAATTAGGAAAAAGAATCACTTTTCTGCTCTTCAAACTGATCATTTCAGGCCCACCTATGTACCAGTGTATGTGCATGGGCTGGGGGAACAGAAAACAACCAAGGGCAAGACCCTGCCTTGTTCCTCTTGAGAATAGCAGAGCCCTTAGCTTTTGTGTCAAACTCCACTGTAAACTTCCCAGGCAAAGATTTTTAAATGCCATTAACATTTCTGAGGACTGAACTTGAGTCTCTCAAAAGAGGTCTCATTTTCCTTGGGGTGGAGGTTCAGCACTAGTGGAGACTTAGTGGAGACGGCTTTTCATCAGCCTCAGCCTGCACTGGTTTCTTCTGGAAACCATGGTCCTGCAAATGGAGCTCAGTTTCTTTAAGATGATTGTAATGTTAAAGCTTTCCTGGGGAAAAGGTGTTCTTCAAAAGGGGCAATTTTTTTTTTCCTCAACTGTGGCATTCTCAAGCTCTGTGGCACTGAAGTACAGGCTGGCTGGTGAGGACTTTTTGCTTACTCTCGTTAGATAAGACAGTGTTTCATACAGGTGGGGTAACATGCTTTTTTTTAGTGTGGCATAGTAGATGATTCCTACCCATAAGGATAAGTGGTTTTCCAATGGGCACAGGCCAGTGTTGGTGCAGATATCACCTTCCTTGCCTGCCCTGGCTGTGGCACAGGTAAAAATGCTCCCAGGTCCCTCTGTTTGTGCAGGGTGGTGCCTGAGCAGCCCTTCAGCTAGGGAAGGGGGCCAGGGGAGATGCCACCACGGGCCCCCTTGTAGCCTGGATGTGCTTCAGGCCTGCCAGCCAAGGAGGCTGCCGTACAGCTTTGCAGGTACCAGCAGTACAGACTCCCTGAGAAAGTGATTTCTTCTCCTTTCCAACAGCCACTCTCCCACGCTGAGAGAGACTGGAGTTACAGCATGCACAGATGTGGATCTAGCTGGTTTCTTAGGGGATAAAATAATTGATAATTTGCTACCCTGAGCTCACAGTCACCCAAGATAAAATCCTCTCTCTGACTTTCCCATTCCTCAGTCAGATATTTCCATCCTGGCTTTGAGAAGGAAGAACAGACATACAAGATCAGTCCAGGTCACCAAGTATTTTAAAAGAGCACTTCAATATCATCAAGCAGCAGTTGTTATGGGAATGCATTATATACAGGATTATTTTGTTCCAGAGCTTCACAAACTGTGGATGCTACTAGTCAACATAGAAATTTTCCATCTCCATGGAGGCAAGAAAGGCTTCTTATCTCCTTTTCCAAAGCATGCTGAGAGTTGCGTTAAATAAATAAATAAATAAATGATTATTTTTTTCCAGGGCCAGGAGTTTTGTATTAGTCTCACCAAAGTTAGCTAGTTGTAGGGAATAGGGGGAGGTGGCCTCTCACACTGTTAACAGCAAATGATAGAACATTTTGACTTTAGAAATACACCCTAATCAAACTGCCAGTGTTCTGCACAGCAGGAACAAGCCCAGCTGTCATCAAGTTCTCCTAAAACAGCTGGAATCTCTTCACATTTGAGGCAAGTGAATGAATTCATGCCTCAATATGAGACCTCAGAAAGGATAACGACTTCTGCAGGTGGTCCCTTGGCACAGGTGTCCTGCATGAGCCATCACATGGTTGCTGAGAACTCTGGTTTCACCACCCAGAGGATAAAATGGAAACCTTGGAGAGGCAGATTCCTTTCCTGCAAGCTGCAGGTGCAGTCTGACAGCTGTTGGTAAGTAAAAAAAACAAACCAATATTATTCTTTAATTTTATATTAAGGTTCTGAAGCTGAATCTCAAGTGGTTGTGCTGGGTGGTTGTAAAGTGTTCTTTTTGCTATTAAAATAATAAATCCTTGACATGGAAAAAAATAAATAATAAAGTTGATAAGAGTCAGATTTCAGATAAGAGGTTTTCCCTATTAAATGGTAATTGCAAGTTATTTTTCCTTTAGTAAGGCTGTTTGTCTAGCAGAATAAGATATACTGGTGCTCGTGCTGAAAGTAGTAGTCTGAAATAATTACTTTTTGTAACATTCCAAGGGCAGACAAGCTGTGAAAGAGCAAAGGGTGTAAAATAAATAGCTTCTGGTGAACACTGAGTCAGGAGGGACTATATATAAGCAGTATTTGTTTGTGCTTTTTGCTGGTGTGTGTGATGGTACCTCTGGTCTCCAGAGTAGCCTGTGTCAAAATACATGCTTTGAATTAGATCTGTATTTATATGTTATTTAAATCTGGTTTTATACTTACTGGACTAGTAAAATTTAAGCTACCACTGCCACTTAGGTACTCAATAGATGGATAACAATGCACCTTCTAGTACATATATTGTTGCTAATGTGTGTAACAACTCTTTATTTGAGTCTGGCTGGGCACTCAAGCAGACTGTGTAATATACATTGGTGTGATGATTTGGATGTGCTTTGGAAAAGCTTTTTAAAAAAAACAAACCCTGAACAACCAAGATCAAATTAACTCTACTGCAGTTTCACTTTTTTTTTTCTGTATTTGGTGGCTAAAATACTATGTTCGCCTTATCCTTTCTCTGCTCTATCTCAGATGTATGTTATTAGTTGCTAATGAATGTAAGGTGTTGAAGGAGTAGGAGATGATTGGAGTGACAATGTGTCCCTGGTTAGGTGTGTTCAATTGCCTAATCAGAATATAGCGGAGACCTAGAACAGGCTTCTTAGAGAGCTGGTCAATGGCCCAAGCCTGACAGTGTTTGGGGCATTTGAATAATGTCCTTGTTATGCTTATGCTTCTGGTCAGCCCTGAAGTGATCAGACAGTTGGATTTATTGATGGTTGTAGGTCCCTTCCAACTGCAATTGTTCTCTTCTCCCTGTCAAGCGTTTTCTTGTGGCTGAGGCACTGGAGTGAAGTGGAATGTTCAGGGGTAGCTGTGACAGGGTGACAACAGCTGCATTTATTTTATTTTGGCATGTTATGAGTGGTAGGCATTGGCCAGAGCCTGTGGAGCAGAGAGGAAGCTAACTTGGTCATGAAACCTCTGTTTCAGCAGAGCTCTGCTACCTGTAGGCAAGGAGGAAAACTGGTATTTGTGTAGTGTGTATTTGTATCTAAAAAAACATGCAGGTGGTTATGGATTTGTCTTGTATTATAGAAGTGGTCCTTGATTGGACTCAAGGCCAAGGAGTTGTCTTCAGTCTCTTTTCCATTCTGTTCTTGTATCCCATAAAAATACTCTAATTTTATGCTCCCAGACTACAAACTTTAGTTTCTTAGTAATGCAGAGCAAATGTCCACCCCTGTGGGAAACTGAGCAACCTACCTGGGAAATAACTGGAAAGAAGGCAAGTCCAAAGGGCTTTAAAGGGGAGCACAGGGTAACACCAGCAGAAATGAAGTTTAAATGCAAGGAGGGATAACCTGTGGTGGTTTTATCTGCAAAAAATCTTCAATCCTTTGGTGGATTATTCCCTAACTAAAAGGCAGGTAGGTATTCCTGTAAGGTTATTTAATTTGAAGCTGATAATTTTTATTGAATCACCATAGTATTGATAAAATATAGTCTTCTTTTCCTCTTTGGTCCCATACACAACTTTCAACAACCTGTAAATAGGAATCAAGTGTTACTGAATAATTAAACTTGAAATTTTTTTTTTTTTTAATTTGGCAATCATTCACTTTATTATATATACATATTTAAAGTCTGTACATGGTAAAATACAAAATAAAAGCATTTCTTTATAAGTTACACAATTAAACAGCTACATTTGTCTGTAATTTAGCCATCATTTAATTAAAAAAGGAGAGAAATCTTGTTGAGCCATCGTTATATTCATCCACAATAACCTTGGTATAAAACATCCATACAGAGTAAGTGTACAAAATAGTGTACAGTTCATATAAGCTGTGCAAAGACAGCAAAGTTCAGTCAAAAATCAAAGAGGTACATCCACTGTCCTCTGTCCACATCATGGGTAGCAGAAGCAAAGTGGAAAATAAGCACAGGCCTGAGGCAAAAAGGTGGGGTAGGCAGTGTCTTGATGATAATATTGATGCATAAATTAAAATGACAAACATATAAATATATAAGGTCTCCATTACACAAGGCACAGTTACGTGATACCTTAGAAGTCATGCTGGGGGATTCAATGGGTCTGTTGCACAGGATTGTGCTGTTTGTATTAAGGAGGAGGCAAGGCTTGGTCTGTGTCCCTGAATAATGTTGTTTACTTTTGGAGGAAAGGGTTGCTGGATCAGACCAGTGTTCAAGGCTTTGAAATCTTAATGGTAGCTGGAAATTCATTTGAAGAGCAGTACAAAGGGCCACAGCACCTGTATTGTATTTGTTGGTGTTCATCTGAGGATACATTTTCTTCTCAACAGGCTACACTTTGCTCCCTGCTGTAAATCAAGGAGCTGCCTGTTCTTGCTTTCAGGAGAAGGTGGATTACCAAGGAAATGTTGATTGTTAAGCAGAGAGTTATGACAAGGTTAGCAGGTGCTATGGATATGAAAGCCTCCACATGGGGAAGAAATAAGGAATACCTGTAAGTAGAAAGTCTTGCAGCCGTGTGAGAGAGAACCTGTGTCTGCATGTGGACACTTGGGTGGGACATCACCTCTTCAATTATAGCACTCTGTTTTATTTACATCTTTGCAATGTCCCCATGTGATGGTAGGGGCAGGCAGGATGATCTAAGAGACTGTTATCTCCTCCTCTTCATCTTCCCCATCATCATCCTCTTCCTCTGAGTCTGAGAAGTCTGAAGGTTTGCCAGGGCTGCTAGAATGGGATGGTGAAGGAGACATCTGGGAGTCTAGTCTGTCCCTCAAGTGTAGATGTTCTGGGGACTGGTGGTAGGTTAAGGGATGCCGAGGGCTGGGTGGGCACACAGGGGGAACTTCCTCCTCCTCATCCTCTCCTGAACATTTCTTGCCTACATCACTAAGGTCTGGGTGAGGGTTGAACTTGGTGGGTAGGGTCTGTTCTCTGCAGCCACCAGAAGAGAGGAGCTCCCTTTCTTTGGAATTCCTCCACTTCATCCTCCTGTTCTGGAACCAGATCTTCACCTGAGGTGGGGTAAAGCAACACAAATGAAAGGGTTCAGTAAAAAAGGCACCCAGAAAGACCTCTGAGTTGCACCCTCAGAACCTTGCTCATGCCCCTACTGAAGCTAACAGGAACCACAGAACCTGATGTTTGAGGACCCTAGGAGACTGGCTGGGGAGCAAGAGGGTTGTGTTCTGTCCCATCCTACTTGCCCAGCTGGGAATTGTGCCACTCCCTTGGCTTCACTGATGCTCACAGCCCTGTAGCTTGCTTTCTCCTGGCTGTGGGCAGTTCTCCATGCTCCCATTCCCTTTTTATTGTCTGCCCTCAGGTTGCTCCCAGAGCAGGGGGACCTGGCTCCTCGCACCCCTCCTCCCTACCCGATTCCCCTCTCACCTGCGAGTCCTTGAGGCCCAGCTTGGCTGCCAGCTTCTTCCTGTCAGGTTTGCTGATGTATTTCTGCTTCTGGAACATCTTCTCCAGCGCTTTGCGCTGCACGTCGGAGAAGACCGCGCGGCGCAACATGCCCCGGCGGGGCTTCCCGCGGGCGGCCAGCGGCCAGGAGAAGGTGCCAGGGATGGGGACCACGGCAGAGGTGGCTGTGGGGGGGATGAACACACACATAATGCTGAGAGGAGGAGAACCACCCCTCGCTGTCCCCTCCCTGCCCTTCTGGTCGGCACCCATCAACCTGGGGTTGTGAAAAGGAGCTTTAGGCTTAACTAAGCACCCCCCCCCCTTTCAGCCAGTGATCACTGGGATTAGATCTATCAACTCAAACGTGTAAAATGGATCAATAATGGCCGGGTTTGTTGGGAGATTCAAAGGTCCCTGGCCTGAAAAGGCAAAGCGAGGCGTACGGGCTAAGATAGAGGTATAACAAAAAAGCTTTTCCTCCCACTCAGAAGCATTTGATTATTTTTTTTTTCCAGGCTCTTTTATCATTTCAGATGCTTTATTATGCTTGAGATGAAAATGAGGACTTTTCTGATTCCAAACAAAACCGCTCCTCTTCAGTCACAGTTTTGATCAATCAGTATTCATCTTTTTATATATTAATCTCTTCTCTCCCCTCCTCCAAAGTTGGAGAATTCAATCCGAAGACATGAAAAGTAACAGCTAATTAGCACATTGCCTGGTTCCCAATGGCATTGGTATGATAAAAAGGGCAGAGTTTTGCCTTAAAAAAAAAAAAAAAAAGGGGGGGTGTGGGGGGGGGAACCTCCCCAAGAGAGACAGAGATGCTAATGAAGCGTGAATGGTAATTGTGTAGTAATGAACTAACAGAAAAAGACTGAGGACAAGCAGCTAACGCCATATATTATTGGAACAAAAGAGATTTACACTTTCAAACTAAACACAACGGCATGCCAGGCTCCTCGGGAGAATACTGATGGCACAATCGTCTCTTTCCCCAAATCATTTTCATTAAATGGACATGAAAAGCTATTTATAAAGCTCAAGTTGTTTTTGTTAGGCTATTCACATGCTGGAGAAAGGAAGCAAATTCCATTATCCGGAGGATGAATGGAAGAGCTTGGGTAATTTTCCCCCCCTCTCTCCCTTTCCCTGTTTTCTTTTTAAATTAATAGCTTGTTTGTGTAATTAGATTTTTTTTTTTTAAAATTGTTCTCTCCACATCATAACACTTCAGGGCTGTAAGAATCATACCCCGTAGCCTGCTCTCTCGCCAAAAAAACGTGTCGTTTGAATACTGCTGACGGTCCGACCGAGAAGAGATGAAGGGGGAGTGAAGGAGGGGAGGGTTGGTACGCGGGGAAGGAGGAGGAGGGAGGCCGAGCCGTGCCCGCGATACCCTCCTGGAGACTCCAGCAACTCGGGAGAAGAGGAAATACTTAGAAGGGAGGACGGGACGGGACAGGAGAGGGGACGGACGGACACAGAGGGGGAGCAGCTGGGCAGGGGACGGAGCTGCTCCCTCCGCCTGCGCGGAGCGTGTCCCGCGGGCGCGGAGCGGGCGGGAGCTGTCCGCTCCCCCGTGGTGCTGAAAGCGGCTCCGGGCGGGAGGGGCTGCCCGGGAAAAGGGGACTGGGGAGGCACGGGGACCCGTCTCGCCTTGGGACCGTGAACAATCCCGGCTAATTTGCCGATCAGCGGGGGGATCGGGCAGGGAATGTCAAGCAGTCGCTGCCTGTGCTAAATAGGGCATCAAATTGGCGCGACTGATGCTTGAATGTTGTACTCCCTCCAACCTCTGAACTAGAGCATAACCCCCCGGGTTGGGGGGGAGCGGAGATATATTATCGGGCTGTGTCTGGAGAGAGGGAGGAGGAATGGGGCCGGGTCTGCCCGGACAGAGAGGGATTTTTAAAGACCTACCTGGGAAATAGGAAGATCGGATAAAGGGCTGGAAGGATCCTTCGAAGTACGGAAAGGAGAAAGTCTTTGGAGGGACGCTCTGAAGTAACGCAGGGGAAGTTTCTAGTAAATAAACGGAATGAAATTAAGCGGAGGGTTAACGTCGGTGGGACTCGACCTGTGTGGCTGGGTCTGTCGCTTGGCCTGGGGACCAATGCGGTGGTACTTCCTTTCCCCCCACCCCCCAATAGAAAAAAAGAGCCAGACCGAGCTCGGAACCGCCTAGGAAAAGCGGCACTTCTGCTGCGGTGCTTTTGCCGGCAAAGCGGCAGCCGGGAGGGCAAAGTCAGGCAGGGAATCCGTCTGTGGGACACCCCCCCTCCCCCCAAAAAACCCCTCGAGCCC